TAATGGTTAAGTGAAGTGTTTTCTTCGCGGTACGGTCTGGATTCGTAAATATTATGAAGACGAGCTTCGTCTTCAAAGGGTTAACCAGCTGATTTTCGTAATGGTGAGGTGTAGTGTTTTCTTCGCGGTACGGACTGAATTCATAAATAATATTCAGACGATCTTCGGCTTCAAAGGGTTAATTGATAGTTGTGATTGTACGAGGGCCCACGCAGGTCACGTGATATTCTAACCTGCAATCATCACTCCTTCAGAATGTTCACTGTCGAAAACTAATTGGCATCTCGTTCTTTATTAACCTAGCAGAATAACTTCCAGGGATTAATTTCCCGATACTCCGGTACCAAAAAAACCTTTTCACTGACACCGGAGTCGCGCGGGACAGAAACAAATCCGGTGGACACATCGGTGTTCAGTGACGATGTCGAATGTACTGGACATTTACAACACTTAATACGACGGTGATTTTTTTTATTTTATATTTCAATGTAATTATTTCGTGACAAATAGAACATTTGTCACGAAAAGATCGCGTGATTTTTCCATCATCCCATAGTTTACTTGAAATTAAGAAATTAATCATTTAATATAAATTCCAAAGACGGCCAATTTAATGAACCGACAAACTCTCTACGTTCTGACCGACTCTGAAGCCCATCCAACCTCCATTCTGGATCGTTACCTCAATCTCAATCAATTTCATTGCACGGTTTAAAAACAAATGATAATTTCACATTTTAAAATTCAAGACATGCAAGTAATCAACTCACTGAGCACGAAAGTTGATAGAGACTTTTTTATCAGCTGATTCGACGGCTGTGAAACACTGCCTCTTACTCCGAGCAAATAAAATATTTTAGAGGCGTGTGATTGGGTGGTACGAAGGAGACAGTAAACCCTCAAATGCGCCTTTGACCAATTCCTTAAAAGTTCGAAGGTCGAGGGAATCTCACCATTGAACACAAAATTCGATATTTTTTTAAGGAAGGGGATTATAACAATTTGTTAAAGAACTACATATTTTATTTATTATTTATTTAGTGTTCTGTCTGACGGCAGGTCCATATGAACAGGATCCTTCCATCCTTTTCTCGGACTGGGACCTGTTCATATACGTTCTTGGCGGATGATCCAGAAGTGGTTTGCCATTGCCTTCTTCTGTGTGTGAATGGAGTAATTGTTGGGATGCCACGGAGGAAAACTCCGTGTTGCCTAGACCACGGCCTTGCCCAACACAAGTTATAAATTCGGGCACCGCCGGGAATCGAACCCGAGACCCCAGGATTACAAGGCCAGCGTTCTAACCGCTAGACCACCGTGGCAGCCATATTTTATACATAGTGATATTTATACAATTATTTTTTTTTAAAAAAATACGTTCATCCACCTCAGGCCAAACTATTTCTTTGGAGCCTTGTTTAAAACCCATTCAAAATATCTTTTATTTCCCCCAGCGCGATCTTCAGACGACGGGTAAAATACAGACATCTAGTGATACCAACTGTAACACAGTCTACAATCATCAGAACCATTTTGAGACGATTCTTAAACAAACTGTCACTGAAATAAATAATAAAAATAATTTCCAGAATTTCTTTTCCTCATTTCATTAAGAATGTACTTTATCCAGTGATTCATTATAAAAAAAACTTACTGTAGTTATCGGTTACGTATTTTAATTTCCTATCATGCTCACAGACAAATTTTTTATCTGAATTTATTTCAAGTCTACTTCTTTGCTGACTTATGGAGGCATTTATGCATTATTCTGCGTGGTATTTATAACCTCGTACAAAAAAATTAACAGAAACAAATATAAAATTTAGAACAACAGAAAATACTCACGTCTCCTGGAAGGGTAGGGACTTCGTGCAGTTGACCCTGGTAAGCTCTCTGCAAACTCTGCAACACGTTACAAATATTTCTGCATGATGCATTTCAAAATTACACTTTTTTAAAAAATAAATATATTACGTCTACAATCCTAGAGTTCCTTACGTAGTGTTTCTGACTATAAAAATACTATTTACAAATCTAACTATATTAAATAACTCCCATCGTATTTTTCTCTGCATTGCGAGTATTCCATTAAAACACAGACTCCCAGTGACCAAATAATACATTTTAAGTAAACAACACTTTGTTATAATCTGACACTAGACAGACTAGAGAGATAGTCTCGAGCTCTGGCCTCCTTTACAGCTCGAAATATCCGAAATTGAATCATGAATTCTCAGCCATCCAGTACTCATTGGGTTCGAGGCTGGATTTGATAGCGATAATTATTGAAATGAAGTCAGGAATTTAAAATGTGATATGAACACAGATCATAAACATATATAGGCTATAAATTCTGTAACAAATACTTTTATAAGATAGCAGTTAAAAATAATGGCGGTCATGCAAATCTTTCGAGGTTACGTTCATCAAACATGACGCAGCCAAAGTCAGAATCGAGGTTATGTTCATCAAACATGACGTAGCCAAAGTCAGAATCGAGGTTATGTTCATCAAACATGACGTAGCCAAAGTCAGAACACAAAAACACCTTAATAGTTCTTTGGAGGAAGAAATATAATTTTCATTGAGCGAGTTTTAATTGCGAAATTAGACCTATTTCTAAAAAAAACTAGATATTACTGATTGTCTTTAGAATCGGTCGTTATCACAAGGAAATATCAAATTAAACATGAGCCTGACATTAATGCATTGACCAGTTGTCTACGTCAGTGTTTTTCAAAATTAAACGTCACTATAATCACACGTGTCCTGGTTTGGGGCGTGGGATTGGTTTCCTGCGGTATTGACGAAGTTCGAGATTTGCCCTTCCCGGAGATTTTCGTCTGCGCACAACTCGTATCAATGAAATACCATCCGCGCATCGTGTGTACGAAACCGTAGTAGTTCGTGATACAACCAGCAGGGCGTGTTGTAGTTCAAGGTGCTGACGACCAAGCAACGCTTTGGTCGGCAAAGATAGAAATGTCGATACGGATTTCAACTGTTTCATAAAAGAATTTTCTGTTCGAAACTGATTTATATCATCGACTTCCGTCGCGGTCATACGAACTGTCTGAGATTTCTCGATGTCATTTTGTTTTCGCAGCCATTCACATGGTCCAATGCAGTGCTGTACTTCACAAATACAGATTTTGGAAATAGCACGGACTTTCCATTCTCCTGGTTTGCTTTCCTAAAATTAAATCAAATATTATTTTACTCTTCTGGATTCCTTATATCTTATCTTCAAAACGAAAGGTAAATTTATCTAAGCACCACACCACAAAGACCCAAAAAACAAGAAAGAAACAGAAATAAGGTTGGCAACGCGAAAAGTGGATTACTTCGATATATCGAACACGATCCAAAACAATGTCACTCTCGTATGCCGTACCATTTGTGTACTGCGTTTAAATGACTGTCTCTTCGTACACTTGAGAGTATTTATGTGAAATTTTACAGTACTGAAAGACTACACAAAACCTGCCGGGCGAAATAAATGCTGATTCACATTGATCAAATACAATTCCTAACTATTGGAAGCTGAAATAGGCCGAGATCTCTACAGCCTTTGTCGAAATCGGCAAAAGTCCCATCGACTTCTGTTTAAACAAACTTAACACGATGAATATTTAATTGTATACAAGGATAAAGAATTTAAGGCTCTGGGGGGTTGCGAACAGCATTGCATCAGTACGTAGCCTATACATCTGTGACATAAATTATTTACATGCATTTGTCGTACTTCGGTTGTTAAATAAATTACATCATCAGGATGATGGAGGCAGTAGGCACCTCTAAAACGTCAGTAAACTTCGACCACACTACTACATACAGTTGGCATCAACCCAGAAGACAGCCATCTTCATACTCTGATGATGGAGGCAGTAGGCACCTCTAAAACGTCAGTAAACTTCGACCACACTACTACATACAGTTGGCATCAACCCAGAAGACAGCCATCTTCATACTCTGATGATGGAGGCAGTAGGCACCTCTAAAACGTCAGTAAACTTCGACCACACTACTACATACAGTTGGCATCAACCCAGAAGACAGCCATCTTCATACTCTGATGATGGAGGCAGTAGGCACCTCTAAAACGTCAGTAAACTTCGACCACACTACTACATACAGTTGGCATCAACCCAGAAGACAGCCATCTTCATACTCTGATGATGGAGGCAGTAGGCACCTCTAAAACGTCAGTAAACTTCGACCACACTACTACATACAGTTGGCATCAACCCAGAAGACAGCCATCTTCATACTCTGATGATGGAGGCAGTAGGCACCTCTAAAACGTCAGTAAACTTCGACCACACTACTACATACAGTTGGCATCAACCCAGAAGACAGCCATCTTCATACTCTGATGATGGAGGCAGTAGGCACCTCTAAAACGTCAGTAAACTTCGACCACACTACTACATACAGTTGGCATCAACCCAGAAGACAGCCATCTTCATACTCTGATGATGGAGGCAGTAGGCACCTCTAAAACGTCAGTAAACTTCGACCACACTACTACATACAGTTGGCATCAACCCAGAAGACAGCCATCTTCATACTCTGATGATGGAGGCAGTAGGCACCTCTAAAACGTCAGTAAACTTCGACCACACTACTACATACAGTTGGCATCAACCCAGAAGACAGCCATCTTCATACTCTGATGATGGAGGCAGTAGGCACCTCTAAAACGTCAGTAAACTTCGACCACACTACTACATACAGTTGGCATCAACCCAGAAGACAGCCATCTTCATACTCTGATGATGGAGGCAGTAGGCACCTCTAAAACGTCAGTAAACTTCGACCACACTACTACATACAGTTGGCATCAACCCAGAAGACAGCCATCTTCATACTCTGATGATGGAGGCAGTAGGCACCTCTAAAACGTCAGTAAACTTCGACCACACTACTACATACAGTTGGCATCAACCCAGAAGACAGCCATCTTCATACTCTGATGATGGAGGCAGTAGGCACCTCTAAAACGTCAGTAAACTTCGACCACACTACTACATACAGTTGGCATCAACCCAGAAGACAGCCATCTTCATACTCTGATGATGGAGGCAGTAGGCACCTCTAAAACGTCAGTAAACTTCGACCACACTACTACATACAGTTGGCATCAACCCAGAAGACAGCCATCTTCATACTCTGATGATGGAGGCAGTAGGCACCTCTAAAACGTCAGTAAACTTCGACCACACTACTACATACAGTTGGCATCAACCCAGAAGACAGCCATCTTCATACTCTGATGATGGAGGCAGTAGGCACCTCTAAAACGTCAGTAAACTTCGACCACACTACTACATACAGTTGGCATCAACCCAGAAGACAGCCATCTTCATACTCTGATGATGGAGGCAGTAGGCACCTCTAAAACGTCAGTAAACTTCGACCACACTACTACATACAGTTGGCATCAACCCAGAAGACAGCCATCTTCATACTCTGATGATGGAGGCAGTAGGCACCTCTAAAACGTCAGTAAACTTCGACCACACTACTACATACAGTTGGCATCAACCCAGAAGACAGCCATCTTCATACTCTGATGATGGAGGCAGTAGGCACCTCTAAAACGTCAGTAAACTTCGACCACACTACTACATACAGTTGGCATCAACCCAGAAGACAGCCATCTTCATACTCTGATGATGGAGGCAGTAGGCACCTCTAAAACGTCAGTAAACTTCGACCACACTACTACATACAGTTGGCATCAACCCAGAAGACAGCCATCTTCATACTCTGATGATGGAGGCAGTAGGCACCTCTAAAACGTCAGTAAACTTCGACCACACTACTACATACAGTTGGCATCAACCCAGAAGACAGCCATCTTCATACTCTGATGATGGAGGCAGTAGGCACCTCTAAAACGTCAGTAAACTTCGACCACACTACTACATACAGTTGGCATCAACCCAGAAGACAGCCATCTTCATACTCTGATGATGGAGGCAGTAGGCACCTCTAAAACGTCAGTAAACTTCGACCACACTACTACATACAGTTGGCATCAACCCAGAAGACAGCCATCTTCATACTCTGATGATGGAGGCAGTAGGCACCTCTAAAACGTCAGTAAACTTCGACCACACTACTACATACAGTTGGCATCAACCCAGAAGACAGCCATCTTCATACTCTGATGATGGAGGCAGTAGGCACCTCTAAAACGTCAGTAAACTTCGACCACACTACTACATACAGTTGGCATCAACCCAGAAGACAGCCATCTTCATACTCTGATGATGGAGGCAGTAGGCACCTCTAAAACGTCAGTAAACTTCGACCACACTACTACATACAGTTGGCATCAACCCAGAAGACAGCCATCTTCATACTCTGATGATGGAGGCAGTAGGCACCTCTAAAACGTCAGTAAACTTCGACCACACTACTACATACAGTTGGCATCAACCCAGAAGACAGCCATCTTCATACTCTGATGATGGAGGCAGTAGGCACCTCTAAAACGTCAGTAAACTTCGACCACACTACTACATACAGTTGGCATCAACCCAGAAGACAGCCATCTTCATACTCTGATGATGGAGGCAGTAGGCACCTCTAAAACGTCAGTAAACTTCGACCACACTACTACATACAGTTGGCATCAACCCAGAAGACAGCCATCTTCATACTCTGATGATGGAGGCAGTAGGCACCTCTAAAACGTCAGTAAACTTCGACCACACTACTACATACAGTTGGCATCAACCCAGAAGACAGCCATCTTCATAAAAAGAACGAATTTGGAGAAAAGAATTTGTCCTTTGTAAAGCAAGTTAATTGTCTCGCTGTCAGCCACGTTCACTGGAGGTCCAGGGTCACTTTGCCCAATGAACTAAAGAGTTTCTTGGCGATTACGACTGAAAACAGTTCTTCTGAACGTGTATCTTTCGGTAAGATTTAACTTACTTGCACGGAGCCTAGACCACATACAACTTTAACATCGCAAAGTAGCACTAATTAGTGCATCCGGCAAGCAGACCACCGGAGATAAGGCCAAGAACAGGGGAATATATCTAGAACTGAACAGAGACGCGTTACAGAAAAATACACAGCCCTCCAAGTGATGCTGTGAGAATTTCAAACCACAGTACAGGCTTACGAGGCAAATAATGTGGTATTTGTTGATATTTCCTTGCCTCGCCTCCGACTTGAAATCCTGATAACTGTAAGAAAAAGATCTGAATTGAGCTCGATATGCCCCCAGGAACACGATGTGACCACAGCAAGCTACGTAACCAAAAAAACCAACTCCATGAAGACGAGTCCGTAAGACGCTAACAGTTGATCAGCTAGTCAATATATACATTATTAGGGCCACTAAAACCTTTATAACAGCCTACCGGTAGTCTCTGTCCTATTAACACCTACATTAATCATTCATTAATCATCCTATCATCGACCTACTGACAGAATAATTAATTAAATCGTTACGTAAACGATAAATAAATACATAAACTAGTTATGAATTTTAGTGCAATCATCTTAATAAATGACTGTCTGATGTAAAAAGTTTGAATGATAACATCGAGATTCATGTTAAAGGAAGTGACGTGAGAGTATGGAAAAATGGTTTTGGAACAAACTGGCTCAGGATCGTCTCCAATCACGAGCTTTGATGGTGGAAAAATCGTCCCTTCGGATTTACGCTGCCAGAAAGTTAAAACAGTTCCTTCTGTAAGGCCCGTGGTTTCAGAATAATTACGATAATTAGCCTAGTCAATTAACTCAATTAACACGTTTAATAGTGAAGTAATTAAACAAATTTAACGCTGCTTACAATACATTAATAATCATACAAAGTAAGCTACGAAATTTGTACCATTTTACTGTAACACTGCTCATGAATCGAAAACTAAACGCGACTGAATAGGTTATGTGACACAGTTAATACAGTTTCCAAATTCCTACACCTGAGGCGCTACACTCACAAGTTGTTAAAATGGCGTCTCATGCAGGAAAAGTTGAATGTGCGTTGTGGTTTCACGAGTTTAGATCTGGGGTTACGCTGTAAAGGGAGACTTCGTACGGTGTTTGGAAGGCAAACGTCAACAAAGGTGTTGACTGAAACCGAACGACATCTGTCGGGCTACTCACGAACTCCTAATTGATAATGTGTGAGACGTAGGTCGCAAAAACTTGATCATAAGACCTAACCAAACGCGTTTAATTTTCATACCACACGAGAATTTTGTTCGTAATGTTTATATCCTATATAACAAGAAAATCAGCGAATCTCTGGACTACCTGTTCTAAAAACATTTCTCTAACAATGGAACGTAATTTACTGTTTATATACACTTGTCACTACTCTGTAAACAAAACTTGCACAAACAAAAGGTCAGAACGTGTTAACACCACAGAACACGACACGTGTTAGGGTCTATTTATATATGAACGTAAAGTTAACGACACGAGCACGACACGAGCCCTTGACGATTTTTCAGAAAATATTATTCAACGTTTTTCAATGGAACTTTTTACGAAAAATATCTTTGGAAACGTAAGTCGGGCGAGACTCGGCCGTGGAACGGACGAGCCTCGGAGTCAATATAAAAACAGTTCCATTGAAAAACGTTGAATAATATTTTCTGAAAAATCGTCAAGGGCTCGTGTCGTGCTCGTGTCGTGCTCGTGTCGTTATCTTTACGTTCATATATAAATAGACAGTCGGAATGTAGGTCCCAGTGCGAGAAAAGGATGGAAGGATCCTGTTCATATGGACCTGTCGTCAGATAGAACACTAAATAAATAAATAAATAAGTCGGAATGATTAAAACCAATGCACGCGAAACGATAAGTACTGTAGCCGACGAGAAGCCTTCGCCGTTCCGAGATGCAGCCCCACCCCCTGATACTTCAAAATATAGAAAGAGTCTTCCACCCCACCCCCAAAAAAAATAATATTACTAATCTCATGTCTATCGCTGCGTCTTTTATCGT